GAAAGAAAGAGGGAGAGATACACACAAGAAAGGAAGGAAGGAAGGAAAGAAAGAAAGAAAGAAAGAGGGAGAGATACACACAAGAAAGGAAGGAAGGAAGGAATGGAGGGAGAGTGAGAGAAAAGAGAGAGAGAGACAAAGAGAGAGAAAGAAAGAGTAAGAGAAAGAAGGAAAGGAAGGAAGAAAGAAAAAGACAGACAGAAAGAAAAAGAAAGTGGGAGAGAGAGATGAAAGAAAGAAATAAAGGAAGAAAGAAAGAAAGAAAGAAAGAAAGAAAGAGGGAGAGATACACACAAGAAAGGAAGGAAGGAAGGAATGGAGGGAGAGTGAGAGAAAAGAGAGAGAGAGACAAAGAGAGAGAAAGAAAGAGTAAGAGAAAGAAGGAAAGGAAGGAAGAAAGAAAAAGACAGACAGAAAGAAAAAGAAAGTGGGAGAGAGAGATGAAAGAAAGAAATAAAGGAAGAAAGAAAGAAAGAAAGAAAGAAAGAAAGAGGGAGGGAGGGAGACAAAAGGAAGGAAGGAAGGAAGGAAGAAAGAAAGAAAGAAAGAAAAAGAAAGAAAGAAAGAAAGAAAGAAAGAAAGAAAGAAAGAAAGAAAGAGAAAGAGAACTTATGACCACAATTGAGCCCAAAATTTTGGTTGCGAAGCAAGAGTGTTGTTAAGTGAGTTTCACCACATTTTCCAAATTGGCCATGCCCACCCAGTCACATGACTGCTGAGCCACTCCCACAAAACAGGCCACACCTGCAGAATAGGTTCTAAAAAAATTGAAACCAATCACTGGTACAATATACGTATCTTGGATCTTTATACTATTCTTTTGAAAGTACAGTATATAAAAATTGGACTGAAACATATTTTAAAGAAATTAAATGTGACTGAATCAATAGACAATCTACATAGAAATGACCAAAAACAACTTTCTGGAAGAGAAGGAGACATATATGTTTATCTTATATGTATTTCAACAGAGTTTGGAAATTCTGCATGATAAACTACGTCATATTTTTCATTTTATGTTGCTACCCACCATGAGCTGTTAACGCCATATCTAAAATAATTACCCAGCCATTTGATTAATTTAATTAATATATCATGGTATGTCAATGAAATTAAGTTAATATATTACTTTAAGGGTGGTCAAGTTTTGTCATGAAATAAATGGTGTGCGTAGTGGTTAATTAACATGATAAATTAACCAATATTAATTTTATAAATTCCAGTGATCATTATAAACATTAGACTAAACAAGAATCTATGTGCTACAAAGCACATTTTTGAATCAGATCCAAAGTTTTGCACAATTTCAGTTCTTTTTCAAACACATGATTAAACTTTATTTTGAATATTTGAAAGTAGATTCTAAATTAATCTGCAAAAGCAAATTAAGTTCACAAACCTGCACAGTATCAATTTGAGAGAATATCCTTTTGGAAGAATCTTTACCACAGTTACATTTCTTCATTTCATCCAAGGTAATGTCATGGCTTGTCAACTCTGATTGAATTTTCTGGGTGGATGCAAAGGTGGTGGTGGTGGAGAGAAGACATGTTTGAATCAAATTATATTATTTTTACAAAATTAATATGTCTGAACTTACACAAAAACATTGCAATAAATAAATTTAAATTATTAAAATTGAATTCCAATAATATCAGTACACTAATAGATTATAGATTGTCGAGGGAATGGATTTTAACTTCATCTATATTCATTTGTATACTTCAAAACTTTGCTCTGGAAGTTGGTGATGCTCTAGATCAGCAATGGCGAACCTTTTTTGGCTCGCGTGCCATAAGGGGGGAGCACAGGGGGGTCGTGTGAAGGTGTGCCTCACCCATAATGCAACCCCCCAGCGTGCATGTGCGCATGAGAGGTGCTCCCCCCATTTTTTGCTTGTTTTTTCACCCCCCCCCCAGCTCCAGAGGCTTTATAGCAGCCTCCGGAAGGCTTAAACCTTAAACTTAAACTATGAGCAAACCGAAAGTCTGTCCCCAAACTTCCAGTTTGCACTCCGGAGGCTTCAGGGAAGCTCCTGAAACCTCCGGAGGACCCCTGGGGAGGGCAGGCAAGGCTCTTTTTGCCCTCCCCAGGCTCCTATAAAGCCTCTGAAGCCTGGGAAGGGTGAAAAATGGCTTTTAAAAAGGCTGAACTCAGCTGGCCAGAGCACACATGCATGCTGGCCAACTGACAGGGCAACGCCTCGTGTGCCCTGACAAATGGCTCCATGAGCCAACTGGGCATGCATGCCATAGGTTCGCCATCCCGACTCTAGATCAAATTTGATCTGTATTTTCATAGATGGCCCAAAATCAGAAATAGACATTGTACAAGTGGAGATTTGTAAAATATGGATGTATAAGAGTCACTCCAAAACCTAGACTTGCCCCAAAGAGAGAGATAGGTGGTATATAAATGTAATAATAAAAAATAAGTGAATAATGATAAATTTGAGGTGTGTGTTCAAAATATAACTGTGTTCAACTATTAACTTTTTGTAACCTATTCAGTTGCATTATTTGCATTGGGTAACTATATAAAAGTTATAAATAAATAATTAAATACCACAGCATGAACAGAAGAAATTAAAATACATATAATGTCAGCGTTCCAAATAACATCCAAAATTAAATCAGAATCCAAGGGAAAATATTGTTCTAAGTTCCAATTTATTAAGAGAGGCATGTTGCCACATCTGGGGGAAACCCAAATCTGAGTTTCCTGAGGTTTCCCCACCCAGTTGAAAGTTCATGATCTTGCCCCCACACCCACAAGTCCATCACATGGTCCAATCTTCTACTGCCACACTGGCAGTTCCACCCATCCAGTTCCGGTCAGGTGCAGAGGTGTAGAAACAAAAGATGACCTTGGCTTCTAGAAAGGAACTTTATTTTAACAACAACACATTCTACTCCTTACTATTCCTCCTCCCAATTCCCCACTAATGATATAGCACAATAGAATAGAATATTAGTATGGCAGGCCAAAGATCCTAAAAGGAACGGCTGCAGGCCTCTCCTCAGAAGAAAACATTTCCTGAAAGAGAATAATATAGTGGCTAACATACAGAATAAACCACCTCTCCCCCCATCCGGGGGACCCTTTGGCTTATTGGAAAACTCATCATGGAATTGTTTTACTAACTTATCTGCTTTTAGGTTCCAGCTTTTCACCCAAGTAGCTTCGGACAAAGGGTACCCCTTCCAAAGAACTAAATACTGTAATCGACCCCTGTATAGCCTGGAGTCTAAGATTTTTTTCACCTCATAATGTGTTTCCCCTTCTATCACTACAGGAGGAGGGAGAGCTTGGGTGAATGGTCTTATGCTGGACTCAACTACTGGCTTCAACAAGCTACAATAAAATACTGGGTAAAATATCCCTAGAATTCTGGGTAGACTGAGTTGAACTGTAACTGGGTTAATTATCTTCACTATTGGGAATGGACCTGAAAATTTTGGGCCACATTTCTTGCTAGGCATTCTTAATCTTATGTATTTGATAGATATGAAAACTTTGTCCCCCACATGAAAATGGGGTTGGAGCAAGCGGTGTTTATCAGCTTGCTTCTTGTAGGCTTCAGCCGCATATGCTAGAGCTTTCTTCATATTTTCCCATCTTTTCTTTAGCGTAT